TAACTTTATAATCCTTTTTTTTCCAAATGGTTATCGAAATTGTTCTAAAATGCAGCTGATATAACTCCTAGAAGGTAGCAAGATCTATAGTAATTATATGAGAAATCCCTTGAAGATAAAGTTATAGACATGGTCATTATCCATTGAAATTGCAAAAGTAGAATTAATACTAGTAATATCTAATAGTTATCTATATGTTTTCTCTGAGATGTGAAGAGAGGTTGAAGACAAAGTTAAGTAAAACTTAATATATAACATGATTTACATATATGTATGTATATATTACATATATAATAATAATAATTGATCAACATCTATGTTTCGTAAGCTCATAATGCTGCCTACTACGTATATCTATATATCGATCTATCAACTCGATTGTCTGTTTGCATATCAAATTTGTAGTGGCATTTGGTATTTTATCTAAATCCAAATCGGATTACTAGATTATAGATAAGTGGAAAGCACAAGATACCTCTGCTGCTCCTGCCGTGGCTATCTTTTGATCTTTGCAGCTACTTTAGAGCGTGTTAAGTTGCAAATCTCTTTCACTTTACACACAGATGCGCTGATCGATAATTATCGAAATTGCAAATTGTTGTTGTTATATGGCTTTAATAGATTTAAATGATGTGTGTGTGTGTTTAGCAGTTTAAAAGAAGCTTATGTTGTCTGTTATTGTTGTTGTTGTTATTGTTGTTATTGTTGTTGTTGCTGTTGTTGTTGCTCACCTGCAGTGAAAGGAAGATGATAAGCGGCAGCCAAATCTTTTTGATCCCCAGACGTTGTCGACAGCTATGGCAGCGCATTTGTTGTTGTTGCTTTAGTTGTTGCTGTTGTTGTTGCATTAAGTTATTTGGCTGTTGCTGCTGCTGCTGCTGTTGCTGTGAGTGTTGCTGTTGTCGCTGCATGTTGTTGCTAGCTGGCACGTTGTTTATTATTATTGTTGTTGTTTGTTTGCTGTTTGTTGTTGTTGTTGTTGCTGTTGCTGTTGTCGTTGTTTGTTGTTAATGTGCATAAATTGCAATTAATACGTTATTTTTGCTGTCATGTGCGCGCTTTTGGCTGTTGTCGCTGTCGCTGCCTGCAATATATTGTTGTTGGAAAGCAAATGAAATGAAATGTGACAAGCGGTTAGAAATATAGAAGCAACAGCAACAGCAACAGCAGCAGCAGCAGACACAGCGGCAACAGTTGTTGAAACACTAGAAAGTGTTTACTTGATTGCTTTTCACATGTGGCTGTTGTGTATGTTGCTGCTGTCGGTGTGTTTGTGTGTTGCTGTTGTTGTTGTTGTTGCTGTTGTTGTTGTTGCTAGCATCATTATTTGATTATTGGCATTTTCGCTTTCAGCTGAGGCTTTGTCTGTTAATTATCAATTTATTGCTATTAATTTCGCGGCTGGAAATGCCGCCGCTTGACTGATTGACTGATTGACTGTTTGATTGACTGATTCGTTTGATTGATTTGACATTTATTCATTGATTCACATCGATTTCTCCTCCGACTACACCACGCCCTCCCCCCTCCCATACACCTGTTTGACTCTCACTTACAACAGGTACTTAGTGACCAACTGCCCAGCTGCCCCGCTGCCACGCCCTTCCAATTGAAAGCCCAAAACTGTGCATTGGGCAAACGAATTGAAGAACAAAAAGACAACAACCAAAATACATTAAACAGCGACAAGTGACAGGCTGCAAGCTGAGAAAAAAGAAGAAGCATCAGCAGCAGCGGCTCGTCTTTTTTTTTTTTGTCTTTCTTTTTAATGACAACTTATTCACCTGGTCAGGTGGCTTGCTGGAGGTGAAATGTGTTAATAATGTGTTCCATCAGCCAAGTGGGTCAACGTCAACAGGCCCAAGACAAATACGAGTCGAGCAATTAGAAAACTCAAGACTGACAAACTGCAAAACTCGAAACTGAAGAGTCTAGAGTGAAGTCTGCAGAAGACTGAAGACTGAAGACGGGAGACTGCAGACTGAAGACAGGCTACTTTCAGTAGACCAGAAATAAGTGGCAGGCAGTCCAAGTGAAAGAGAAATAGGGTGGGGGCAGAGAGGGGGCGAGAGAGGCAGAGAGCGAGAGAGAGAGAGAGTGAGGCTAGGGCCATARAGATAAACATAACCCCATATAAAATCTAATGAATCAGTCAACTTGGCGCAGACACAGATCTTTTTTTGGATAAAGCACCAAGTACTCTGATCATATATCATCCTCATATCATATATCTGTCATGTGTATCATCATTCAAATGTTTCACTAACATTGAAACTCTCATCAATTTCAAAATTTGATATTTTTATAGTTTTATCTCTGGTAATATATATTATTATTATCTTTTATCTATATACTTATAGTGTTTCAAAATAATTGGAGAAAAAGTGAATTTTATACGTATGTATATAAGCAATATATTTAAGATACTAGCATATCGTGGCCATAAGATCTGAAGTGAACCTTTTTTAAAGTCTTTGAGTACAATTTAGGAGAAAAATATATTTGTATATAAGATTCCTAAATATATGGTAATATATGTATACATAGAGAACATATCTGCAGCATTCTAGTACATATTATCTTTCAAACAAAAAAAATTAAATATTTTTACAAACAATTCGTTATGTGGGACTATCTTGTATCTGAATTAACTGAATATTATTCTTTATAAATACGTAATTTATGAAAACTAATAAATTCTTAAGTCCTATAGCTCATATATTTCATTACAAATATATACGAGTGTGAAGATATCAAATAGCTAAACGATATGAGATTCTTCTATGTATGTATATATGTTTATAGGAAGAATAGGAAAAAAGAAGTAAAAGCGGATGTGAATTTTCGCTTTTATAAAATTTCATATATATCCATATCGCATTCTAGATAAGATTCCATATAATATTCTGTTCAATTGAAAGAATTCGATAATGTTTCTACACTGATTTTGAGACATTTTGATCTTGATACGTGATAAACCATTCTAGTATTTAAACGCAACATTTAAGACACTATAAATATATATACGAGTACTCTTATGCATATATGCTCAGATTAGTTAGATGACATAGAATCAAATGATTGCTTATGCAGGACATCAATAAGGAAAATATACTACTATAGTAACATTTACTTAATAGTCCTGTAGTCTCATAAATCCTTTATTCCAATATTTTAATCTCATATAAATATATAAAATATATGTAAATATCTTGCTATATTTAGACAATCATGATCTATATAATAATTTTTTTACTAGAACACTTTGTCTTTCATTGATTGATGATTGATAAAATGATTGTTAGATTGATTGCTAAATTCATTGATTGATTGATTAATTGAATGACCGATTGATGTACAATAATATCACGGCCTTATTCCTAACCAGTACTAGCTACATGTTTAACATTAAAATTGAGTTGGGGTTCAATTGATCAATCAAGGTCAATCCTTGGAAACTTCAATTCACAATTGATGGATTAAGCCATGCAAATTTTAGAGTTTAATTTAAATTAAGTTTGTATACAGTTTAAGCGACATTCAAATTGTCGAGCTATGACAAGATTGATGCTAAGTGAGTTCATCAATCAAATTGATTGAGGCTACAAATTTCAGACTGAAGCCCAGCTGTATGGCAACTTCTGTTTGTGTATTTGTGTATGTATATAGGTACGTATGTGTGTATGTATGTGTGTGTGTGTGTGCGTGTGCACAACACTTACCTACGCCTTGGACCAATTCCAAGAGCTGAGCAATTCCAATTTTGATGCAATGCCGAACAACAGGATGTGCTCGATGCGACTTTCGAAAGCAGTTGCTGTTGTGCGTTGCTATTGTTGCAGTTGCTGCTGCTGTTGTTGTTGTTGTTGCTGCTGCTGCTGCTGGCAGTTGCAGTTGCACTTATTGTTGTTGTCAATGCCGCAAATTGCCTCAAATTGAAGCTCGTATTGTTTGCTGTTATTGTTGTTGTTGTTGTTGCAGTTCGACTAGCACGCGGACAATCAACAACTGTTGCAGGCGCGCGAACACACAATACAAAAAAAAAAAGTCTAACAAAAAGAGTCAACAGAAAAAAAAAATTGAAATTATTTAATAACAAAAAAAAACAAGGATACGCGCGCTTTGGCACACACACGCACACACACATACACAGAGGAGCACAGGAGTGTTGTTGCTGCTGCTTCTTCTTGTTTGTTTGAAAAAAAAAATGTAAATGTTGCACTTGGCCAAAACAAATACAAATTTATTGTTGGCTTTCGTTTTGTTTTTCGTATTTTTGTGGGTTTTCAATTACAATTTGTGTTTTTTTTTTTTTTTTTAAATATTTTTTTTTTTTTTTTCTTTCTGTTTAGTGAATATTGGTTGTGTCTGCTGCTAAGGCTGCTGCAGCGGTTGGCGGCAAGCGTTGTGGTTGAAAACGCGTCTGGTTCGCGCCGTGGTTAAGCGCCGAATGCTGCATCCACCTGCTTTCTCGCAGCGAAACACTTCGCATGCGCAACGGCGCCGACAACCACGAGCCAAGCAGCGCAGCGAGCAGAGAGCCGTTGCTGTTGTTGTTGCTGTTGTTGTTGTCGTTGCTGCTGCTGCCGTTGTAGGTATTGCTGTAGGTATTGATGTTGCTGTTGCTGCTATTGTTGCTGTTGCTGCTGCTGTTGCTGCTGCCGTTGTTGATGGCGAAATTTCTTCTTTTCATTGATAGACAGCAGCAAAAAGTAAGATACTGAGACACGAATACAAATACGGTGTTGCGGTATCGGTATCGGTATCGCTATCGGTATCGACTTAGCCGGCTGCTGCAGCAATTGTTGCTGCTGCTGCTTCTGCTGCTGTTGCTGCTGCTGCTGCTGTTGCTGTTGCCGCTGCTGTTGCTCGTGGCATGCGTTTGTTGTCAGCGCTGATCGGTTTCCCCATTCGTCTGTTTGTTTATACCGGGCAGACGGGGCAACTTTCAGTTGCAGACGCATCGCATTGGACAAGTCCTAAAAAACTGTTTGCACTTTCTATGCACCGCACCAACAGCCGCACCACCAACACCACACACAATTGCCATTGCCATTGCAGTTGCAGTTGCCGTTGCAGTTGCAGTTGAAGATGCAGATGCTCTTTTTCCTTGGCTTGTGTTCAATTCGTGGCTTGTGGGCGCACCAAATGCCCTTCTGGGTGGCTATTGGTCAGTTGTTGCTGCTGTTGTTGTTGTTGTTGTTGTTGTTTTTCTTTATCCATTGCTCCGATTGCTACTACTGTTGCTGCTGCTTGGGCGACACCGCTGACTGCCCTAATAACAGCAACATTATCTGCTGCTGCCGGTTTGCTGTTGGTTTTTGTGTGTGTTATGCTGCTGAAATACTGAAATGCTGAAATGCTTAATCGATTGTTCCACTTTTCCGTGAAATATTTGCGCATTTGATTTACTTTAGCTTTGTGCACTTCACCAGCCTCAATTGCCGTCGTCCAGTCTTCACTGTACTTGCTCCGGTTGCGTATGAATTGATGTGTCGCACAGTGGTCCCACATGAAGTGAGCGGCACTGGAAACTGATATGAAATAATTGATTGATTGATATGCTTGATTGATCGTGCCTGCTAAATAACTAACTGATGGATATTTACTACTTCTGATTGATCTCGATTGATTGCTTAGATAAAATGGACTATTTGATAGACTCCAACTAAGATGGGTTGGTTGATAAACCAAATGACTGAGTGAGGAAATCAGAGATTGATTGTCCGATTGACTTACGTAACTGATATGCCTATTGATTGACCGATTGACTTCAACTGATAGCCTTATCAATTGTCAAAATCATGTGACTGACCGACAAATTGAGTGATTGATTGGTTAGTTGATTGACCACTTGATTGATGG